ATGTGTGTGTGTGTGTGTGCGTTTATGTATGTGTGTGCGGATACAAATTTTCGTCGACGATTTCGGGAACACGGATGAAGCAATTTGAATAATTTAAAAAACATTCGATCCGTATTGATAAGGAGACGTGCTGATTAGTTTTTGGCGGAGGTAGGTCTAGCCGTTCCGAAGATATGGGGCAAAAAGTGCCAAAAACGGTAGCTCAGTTTTAAAGAGAACGGAGCGTCCGATTTTAATAAATCAAAAAACATTTTACTTGTATTGACAAGATGAAGATTTGATCAAATTTTCATAAGGGCAGGTCTAGTGGTTTCGGAGATCAAACAAAAAAAGTAAAAAAAATGCCATTTGGCGGTCAAAAATGATCATTAGACATATGCACATCAAATTATCAGATATTTTATAGTATAACAATAACAATAACAATAAGTATACATTTTATTTACATTCCTATGGGTTCTGTACCAATGTTTATCCGTTAGACAGCGACGCGGCGCTTTATATTTTGTCTCTATGTAGTTAAAGCATACGATTGCTTTGAAAAAAAGTTCAGATCTTCCAAAATATGTCAAAATAAAGAAAATTTTTTTTTACTTAATTTTTTTTTTTCAAAAAAAAGTAATTTTTTTGTCCAATTTATAGTTTCTCAAAAATCTTATTTTTTGGAAGTAATTTTTTTAAAAAAATGTTAATCGTTTTTAAAATAATAATTTTTGGTACGGGAAGTTTCAGCAATTTGCCTTCAGGCACGATGCCTTAATTGCCTTAAGACAGAATTCCACTTACAGCTAGTTTGTATCTGCGAAAACAAGCCTTAATTCGACTCAAGCCCTTGCTTGAACTCTATCCGTTGTTCATGTGGATGTGATATACGATTCATATCCATCTTCCCACGAGGTTATAATGTGTGCACACCACTTCAACTATCGAGAGCTCAACTACTTTGAATCTACTTCGTATTATTCATCCTAATATTTTACTTTCGTTTGTGGAGATTTTTAACTTGGTGTGTAAATAGATTATCATTGCTGAATTTTTCTACGAACATATCAATTACAATGAAATGGAAGTAGAGAATACTTCTTGTCACTTTTTATCGGTTTTCAGGTTTTGTTGCCGAAAACACATATCGTTTAAAGTCGTTCAACTTCAAATCTTACATTTAATTAAGATGCGATACGCTTTTTTAGTTCATTGAAATTTCTGTTAGTTATAAAATTGAAAATAATTTGATGGGATGAATCAAATTATCAACATACGAGGTGATAACTCGATAAACTATACTATTTTTTTATATCTTTCAAATAAGATTTTAGCATCACACCTGCGTTCTTTATTGATTCAAAAAGGCCCATTACTTCTTTTCTTTATTTTGTTGAAATTTATACTGAAAATAATAATTGCTGAACTAATTCTATAGTTTACTGAACGCCTCAAAACTGAAATTTATTGAAGAGACAAGACGAAGTAAAAAAAGCTTTAATTGGTAAATTAAATTAAAGCAAATTATTGTGAAAATATTATACACGAGTTGATATGTAACTAATTTATAGCTTTATTTTTAGTTTTTTTTATTTATTCATTGTCTATTTATAGTTTATTTTTTCGAGTCGATATATTGTCAATATAATCTAATTTATAGTCTATTTTTAATGCATATTAAATTTCAATCTAATAATTAAAAATTGATGTTATTGAAGGTGTTCTGGATTATCTATTTTGCATTTAATGATTACAGGGGTTCAAAGGTCTAATTTGACTTCGAGCAATTATGCCAAAACCAAACCAATTATATCGCAACAAATAACACATATCAAACAAACAACTATCTGACTATCAGTAAAACTCGTCTCATTTTCAATTTTAAAGGGATTTTATGAAGTAATAGTTGCGTTGTACAACAAATACAAAATATAAATTTTATGGTTAGTATATAACCCTGATCTGGTATTTTGTTTTTATTTAATATTTTACACCTTATTATACTATTTTACAGATTTAGTTGGTCTTTTTTACCTCCCGAGATAAACGGGAATAAATTTTAACTGATTTCATTTATGTTTTACTTCATCGATGAATTACTATTGTTGACCTTCCCAAGTATTAAAAGTTTACAAAGGTTTACCTAAAGATCTTTTAAATGAATTGAATGAAGGTCGAGCGGGATTATTTTAATTTAATGCCAAGTAGTTACTAACATGTATTACTAATTATAATTTTTCTCATCCCAAATCGGTTCGAACGACTCCGTTCGTACGGTTCTAGTTAATAATTACACTAATTTTATTGTTTATAATATCTAGCAACGATATATGGAATATTTAATTAGGCATTGTGTCTTCTCCATATTATGAACTGGATTATATATATTTGTGTATATATATATATATATATATATATATATATATATATATATATTATGGAGTTTCTGTATCAGAAGAGCAATTAGTTTACCGGTGTGTGAATAGGTATGGTTAGCCATTGTTTGGTCTTTTGTTGTTTCATACGAATCTGAGTCTCATGGAACAGCTAAATTCCTGCATAAATTGCCGATGATACTGCGCAGATGAATTATCCATGCACCATGCTCTCGGTTAATAAGATCAGATAATGATCCGATAAAAACTTTACTACATACAGAAATAAATGAATGAATGAACCTTCACACACACGCACACACATACATATGCACACACATATATCCGATATGCACACACTAATCCGATACTTTAATAGACCGACACTTCCAGTACCATCCGATCGAAGACTAGACATTTTTTTGATTTTTTTTTTTTAATTTTCAATTTTTTATTTAATTATATCCAATATTATATGTTAAAACATATGTATTTTCCACTATAATCCGTCGGTATCGGATAGTCGAGAAGGGACACCCTGTATGAGAGTCGACAGGGTGTCCCAGAATTCATCGTAATTATCATGGAAAAAATTAGACAAAAAATTACATGTAGGTCACATGACATCTGACATCGGGTCACATACAACACGCACACATACACTTTTTCCAGATTTGGTCTCATTTGACTCAGAATGACTTGAAACGTCGAGAAAACATAAAATTAGCAAATCGAATTTTCTGGCGAAAACGTAAATTTGTCTTTCAGGAAGTTGAATATGTATGAAAATATAAAAAAATGTACTCCATTTTTACAATTGATGTAAATGACTTAATTGATGTACATATAGGATTGAATTGAATTATTATTTGATTGAACTATACGATTTTATTTAAAAAATACTTCAATCGATGTAATTTTCCTATTTTAAAAATCAATGAACAACGTTTGCTTTTTTTTTTGCTTTTGGTATAATTATTTTTTACTGCCGAAAATAACGTTAACTTCAGCGCTTTTGTTGGTACACAATATTTTAATTAGAGAACCCGGCAAAGTAATTATAATTACAATATGCTTGTTAGTATTACTAGTCTGAGCACAATGTATTTTACAGTTAACAAAGTCTAAATTTATCAAACATTCTGGTCTGTACAAAAACACTATTTTAAAGAAAAACGTTATTCAAGTCTAATTATTCGTCTTTTTTCTAATGCCACAAAGAAGCGTTATGAGTACGTGCATGTCCGAACACTCAAAATATTGTCACATAACTGAAAACAAATTGAATTTGAATTAAAAAATACTATTTTTTATAAATTTTTATTATGTGTTTGATGTTTAACTGTGTAATAAACATTCTCATTACTGAGTAAATATACTCAGTAACTACTAGGACGTTGTTCATCAAATAATGGCTAATAATTATTTGAATTTTCGATGACATATTGTGCTTTTATATGACATAATAAAAAAAAAAAACTAGTTGGTATTGGTATTTTGCCTTGAGGCAAGTTACATGAACTTTCCGATATTTATAAATAATCGACTTAATCAATAAAAAATAAATTAATTTATGAGTGATTAAAAGTATTCAGAGTGAACACGTTAACTCGGAGTATTTTCTAGAAGCAAATTTTCAAAAATCTATATTTTTTATAATTGAACCAGTTTCCGTAGGACTTTAACGCTTTAGTATGTTCATTAAGACCAAGTACTCTATCGTTATACCAAGTAAATCGTCTAATTTTAATTTTAACAAACGTCAAAAAAACTACTCATTTTCTCAAACTTTGATGAATTTTTAAAATTAAACTACTTGTCGTAGGACCGTAATAAATTAGTATGATATACAAGACTATGGTATCTACCGTAAAAAAAATTATAAAAATCATCGAATTTTTTTTTTTTAAAAACCCTAATACAAGAAAACGGCCCGGCAGATCTTTACCAATAACTAATCAGCACGATTCCCAACCAATATTTATCGAACAGTTTTTGAATTTTCAAAATCGATTCAGTTGCGGGCTAAAACGTGGACGAAAATTTTTTCACTTTTCTACGATTTAAAAAGAAACGGCCAGGCCGATCGTCGTACAAAACTCAGAAACGCTAGTCCTCATCGAGATACATTGAATGGCTTTTAAATTTTTTAAATCGGTCCAGCCGTTTTGGAGAAACGTCGATTTACGGCAAAAAATCTGTTCACACACACACACACATACTTTTTCTAAATTTTATCTCATTCGATTCAGAATGGCTTGAAACGTCGAGAAAACATAAAATTAGCGAGCCGGATTTTTTGATGAAAACATAACTTCTCTGTTTGTGCTTCTATGTGCAGCCATTTTGTTGTAGCTGGACCGGATAATTTTGATTAGGTATTACAATTTTACTACTAAAAGCTCTGGATCAAATTAATACTTCTAAAATCTCTACAATAAAATTCGTCTGAGTCGAGAATTGTCTAAAAAACATTTGCATTCACTCTTTAAAGTTAATAGTTTTTGGATTTACTACGTTAGTATATTATGTCATTTGTATTAAGGAAGTCGGATGTGTTACCATGTATAATTTTATATCACACTAATTTTTAATGCAAATGACATTTTCTTCCGGATATATTCATTCATTTCGTTGTTGCAGCATAATGTCTACAAGTGATGAAACTGGAGACGAAACTAATAGGAGCTGGAGTTCTACTAATAGAAAAAAAGACACAAGTCGCCGTATTAGTTTCAAGACATACCAATATAGTCATGTTAGCCAGAAATGTAATATGGAAATGTCAATTAGGACGCATCTTTCAAATGAGGAGATGAGCGGTCTGAGTACGTCACAGGTTAGACCTTTAAATCGAGGAAACACGAGAGGGAGCAGAAGTGAACATCGTAACCGTAGATCCTCATTGTCGACTAAAAAATTATTGCCAGGCCGATCAGACTTTTATGAAGTAATGATACCCTACATGCAAGATTATGATAAAAAGTTTATCTTGAATCAGTTATATAGCCGCTTGCCATCAGATGCCTTATTTCATCCTCTTTATTTTAAATTAAGTGAAGGGAAAGCCACTTTCTATGTAGACAGTTTTTCCATTGCGAAAAAAATTTTACAACTTCACAAAGTCATACTTTTACCAAATGGCTACAGTATGATGATGAGAGTTCGCTCTCGTTTGCCTGAAATATCTCTGAACAATAACTTAAGGGAAAAAATGATTGCGGCATTTGCTAGAAGATATAACCCGGACATGAATTCATTAGACTTGTCTAGTTTTCATTTGGATCCTGAATTAAGTGATGTGTTTTCTGCACTGGCTAGGCCAGATATATTGAATGAAGCTATTACTATAATTGCTTCTAAAGTTCCATCTTTAGTAGCCTTAAATTTAGACAATAACAAAATTTATCAAACAGATCACCTGATATGTATACCAGAGAAGTTGCCCCACATAAAAGTACTTCACCTGAAAAATAACAATTTGACGCACAGCAGGCGACTAGAGCCGCTGAAAAAGCTTTCTTTGGTGGAGTTAATGTTGGATGGGAATCCATTCAAAAATCGCTTACGAGATTATAGTGTTTACGTTAGAATAGTGCGGAAAATGTTTCCAAAAATTTTGAAATTAGACGGAACAGAAATTCCGCCAGAGATAACTTTCGAGTTACAAAAACCCATACATTTACCCACACCTAAAGCCTATTTTTTTTGCAATTCAGCGGCTGAAGATACTGTTCGACTATTCTTATATCAATATTATACGATTTATGACTCTGGCGATAGGCAATGCTTGGAAGCAGCTTATAAAGAAAATTCAATTATGTCTCTATCTGTTCTTGTTAACACTGAAAGTAGTGATTACAAAAAAGACATAATCAATGATGATGAATCGAATAAAACACTGATGTTGGGGTGCTTGCAAATTGTGTCGTATTTAATATTATTGCCTAAAACACAACATGACATTACATCATTTCAAGTTGATATGTCATTTTTAGCGCCTACTTTAATGCTCCTATCTGTATCTGGAGTTTTTAAAGAATTGAATGGTGAAAATAATCCACCAATTCGATCGTTCCATAGAGTTATGACAATAGTTCCTGCTGGATCTGGATTGTGTATTAAAAACGAACAACTATACATAACATCGGCTACATCTTCCCAAAAAGAGGAAGCATTTCGGGTTTCACCGATTCATATAGCAGAAGTCACCGAGCAAGGAACCCCGGCAGTTACAGGTGATATAACTAAACTGAACATGCTTCATGTACTCGCAGCTAATACTAATATGAATTTGGCTTGGTCCGAAAAATGTATGGAAGATAATCATTGGGAACTCGAAAGAGCTTTGTGTGCTTTTAATCAACTAAAGGGAGAAAATAAGATACCTCTGGAGGCTTTTATAAAATAAGATATGTATGTGTATGTGTATGTGTGTGTGTGTGTGTGTGTTACGTATGTTCTATTTAAATACACGAATGAAAGTATACATTGGATTCAATATATTGATAATGATGAGAAAGCAAAATTATTTTTTTCATTTCAGTTATTGTATATTACTATATTTTCAGTTTATTTCTTGTCAACACCATACGTACTGAAAAGCGTATAGAAAATTCATATAACTAATATTTGTTTAATGAGTAATTTATTCGAAGATACTACTTGCATAGCAATATGTTTTTTCTCCATCGATATTTTAATTATCTAAACATTTACATTATAAATTAATTCTAATGTAATCGCTTTTCATATGGTCGTGAACTTACAAACTGCTATCATGTTTACTCTATTAATAAACATGACATTGCTTCTGAATCTGCGATACGATGGTGCTAGATCAGATTTATCTACCCGCAACTTGTAATTAAAATCGATTCTCGTTGGTATTATGTAGATCTGTTCTAACTCGGGATTTTAGCATAAATGCTACGAAACTACGCGTTTTCTACAAGACAAACAACTATTGGTAGCCTTCACTCAAATTATATTTCTATCATTTACATAAAATCAGATACGTACACTATCTTTATATATTCTTACAGGGATTGATTATATTCAATCGTTAGCTGATTTTTTAATTTTTCGAAATAGGTTTAAATTTTAGGGGCTTAATAAAACCTTTAGGAAATGATATGTCGCCTTTTTCTTTGCCTCCTTTTGAACTAATCGTGTTCTGAAATTTTAACATGTGCTATATTTTTTTTACAATACAAGATTTCTGTATAACTGTCTCTGAACATATATAATACATATACAGAACTATCACTAAAAATGTAGAGTAAACGTAGATACCACAAAAATTTACTGAAAACTGTCCTACAGAATGTCATCCTGTAATTAGCTTGAATAATATTCAAATAATATTTTCAGAAGTTCGTGTTCAAAATTACTTAAAAATACAACGATATAAAATAATCAATTTATATTTAAATTGATTTTTAATCCAACATTAACTCCATCCAAGGAAGTTTTTTCAGGGATTTTCAGTTCTACACATGAAGTTTTATTTTTATTTCAGGCAACTTCTCTGGTATACATCTTATGTGATCTGTAACATGAATTTTATTATTATCTAATTTTTTTTAATCTGTGTGAAAACGGTTAAAATTGCGGCTGACTTGTAATCTATTTTGTTTCTCAATATATCATTTAATCTCCTTCTATAATGATATTGATTATATGTCGTCATATCTATTATATAGTTAGCTAAACTTCCGATAGTCGTCTTTTGAATAGTGAAAACCTTACTTGCGTTTTCAACTTTTTTATATTTATGGTTAACATGAACAAATAATTTGCTATTTGTTTGAATCTACATTTTATTAATTTCAATAACAACATTTGTTATTCCACAATTAGCGTAATGAAATAATTATTATTTTCTATTAGTATAAACGTTTGGACACTCATTCTTTCTTTTAAGGAAAAACTATTCTGAATATAAGATGTTTAATCATTGAAAACAATGCGAATGAAAGCGTGTAAGAAATTGTAGCTGAATATAAATAATTAAATTCTTTTATAGATATATTTTTATAGATTGTTGGAAACATTTTGCCTCCTCGTTGATATACCTTCGAAACATGAATTTTAAAAAATATTGATATTTGAAATTTTAAAAATAATTTTTGTTTTTACTAAATAATTGATAATATATTATTAAGGTAGAGTAGGGTTTAAAGGTTTGCGGGTAAGAATATGCACCCCATCACCATTATATAAAAAACAAGTAAGATATAGAATTGTTTAACGTTACTATTTTAAAGTAGAACACAAAAGTTGTGTAACCAGCCATCACCTTGATTCCAGTGAAGATTCGAAAGAACAGCTATGCATCAATATTTATAGCAAAAGTATTGTTTTCGTTGGCAGTTTTTTCAGTTTTAAATCTTTTCATTTAGTTTATGATACCTGGATATTTTTAAGCGTACGTTATTATAAGTTAGATACAACAGTTTTCCTAATATAATCTTTATAAAAGCTTACATGTGGGTGGGGTAAAAGGTACCTGCTGAATCTCTACCCTGGCATAGATGTAAGCAATAGAAAAAGTAGATAAAAAAAATAAATTGTTAGGAATGCTAATTTACAATAAATAAATTAAATTATTCTTTATTCCAACAATGCTAGCGAATATTTCTGATGAGATACCAGATCAGGGTTATATACAGTGTGATCTTTGTAAAGAATATGCTCATGAAATTTGTATTTCACATTGCTTGATTAATGTGGCTATTATTTCGTAGAATCTTTTTAAAATTGAAAATAAGACATTGGATCTGTTTGCCCCTGGCTGTCCTTTTTATCCAGCTCATGGAGCAAAAAGGGACAGATCTATTGTTACAAATTAATTGGGATTTTACTGAACATAGTTCGATAATTGTTTATGTGTTGTGATGTAGTATATTTAGTTCAGATCGTATAATTACTAGAAGTTAATTTCGTTTCGTGCCCCACTCTACACTGTAAATTTTTGGAGTTGGAACAGTATAACAAAGTGTTTAGGACGAAATAATATTTGAGTAAACGCTCGCCTAGCTGCCGATCTGGTAACTGTTGTGTTTTGTCTCTGTTCCATAATTTATTCCGTTTGTGACAACCGACAATTATTGCAGTATGGTTTGTTATTAACTATAGAGACTATAAAAGTCTAGTACACGAAGCGTAGCGTCTTCGTAAATCACTTGATTTATATCTGGCAAGGAGAGTTGTCACGGTGTTCGCAATGGGGTTATTTTGTCTTTGCTTACGCCAATTATAATCATCATGGAACGTAAGTTAACCCTTCGGGGCATGCGATCATCGTAAAAGTCTTTCTCACTGTACCGATTTGCTGTCTTAACGCTGTTCTGACAATATCGGCTTCGTTTCGTTTCGTCTTGTATTTAACTCAATATCGTTTATGAGTAGGTATGTACGCTCAATAAAAGACTCGCCTCGAAGGCACAATAACTTCAAATAATTGTTGCTAAATATATCTACCTTGACATTACATTTATTTTTTTCAAACTAAATATTAGGGTTTATACATGAACCGACATTTTAGAAAATCGGGTTTCAAATAGTATTTTTCCAAAATAGTAAAATAGTTTTCCAAAAAAAACTATACGCTAGACTAAACTAATACGATCAAAAAAATTTAACAAAAAATTTAGAATGAGTTAAAGCAGCTTTTGACTTAAATTATTATTTGGTAATAAATATTATTGATAATAATTTTTTATGCAATTTAGTTAAACAAAAAAAAAGAGTGCGCGTAAGGATCACACGCGATTGAAGTAAAACTTATTTGCTACTGTACAAAGTAGCAAATTTAAGTTTAGTAAAAATAAATACATCATATAACAATTTTGAATAATGTTTATTAGTAATATGTTAACACTCGTAATGCGCACATTTATTAGTGTCGACTATTATACACATTTATATAATGATAAATTATAAATTATATATTTATGATAGCATTAAAAATATGTATAATATTTACAAACAATAATATTGTTTGAATCAACGCTTAAACAAATATTGTTTTCGTAACTTCACTCATCATGTAATAATTGTGTTTGAAGAACTTCATGTAATTAAAATTAACATACATTCATTTACTGTTTGTATTTTTTTACTTTTTTGTTGGTGATTTAATCTCATTCTTTGAACAACTGTAATATCTGTGTTGCCTAAAAAATTGAAGCCATACTTTTATATTTGTTTTATTTATCAACCCCTGCACATAGCTTGATCTATGAATCATTTTCTTTTTTATGTGAACGTTAATGCGATGATCATCATCAATATTACGAGGTAATAAATTAACCATATTATTGACTCACTTCAGCTTGGCGTAACAATTTCCGTTGCATTTGTACAGATTTACACCCATGTCGCGCCTAAAGAAGTTTTACTTCAAAAAAAAAAAATTATCAGGACTAAATAACCTTAAAAACAATTATTAATCCGTTGTTTATACCTATTGTTTACATATAAGTGTGTATAATATTTCTATAATAACGAAACGATTAGATGTAATTTTACTGGATCAAGTTAATTGCCCAAAATTTTTTAAATCTTCTTACTTCTGTATATGGAGCAGTGGAGCAACGAGTGAATTAGGGTGATTTTCCAATGTGTGGTGATAATTAGTCGATTTTGTTTTTATTTTATTATTTAACACAATCAGATCATCATGTAGAGTTTCATTAATCATGTACCAGGGTGCACCTGTCTTCATTGCTACATCAGATTTGCTAGAGCAACCCAAAAGCTTATTTCGTATAACCAGATAGGAATTATTTTCATTCTATAAACGAAGATTTTGTTTTTGAGTGCTAATTTTGAATTATGAAACAATGAAATGCTATTGATTTGCAGCAGTGTTTTCATTAATCTGGTATATTTAGTTATATTTGTCATTTTCAATGTTTAATGTGTTTATTCAGACAATGAAAACCGGTGTTTTCTACTCAATCGGTTTTCGAATTCAATAATTTTCACTTAAAACAGTTTTTAGATACCGAGAAACTTTAGTAGATATTTTCTTATAATATTGATTGCAATTTTTGTTGATTTTGTATGATTTGAGAGTTATAACTAATAAAGTGTTCATAGTTTGATTATACTTATTCGTATATCCGCCACCGCCCTGGAGTAATATTAATAACCCTTATAAAATGTATATTGATCGTCCGACGAGAATGCCAGATACATGCAGATGAATATTGGAAATTACCCACGAATAATTTATTTTCATCTGGGACTCAATTATACTGGGATAGAGGTATGCATATTGTTTTAATTTCTCTCGTATTGTAAAGAAATTTTATATGAATAATACTAATATTTTATTGAAAATCAAATTATTTAGAAATTGTTTCAAAATTACTTGACAATTCTTTGAAGTTTTTTTAAATTTATTTTTCAGTTATGATACATATTATATATCTCATTGCGGCAGAAGTGTCTGGTATAAGAGATCTTGCAAAAAAACCAATTTACACGTCATTATTGTATGTATAATATGA